TAACATGTGTGAATTTATACTACATATTCATATTGATCGTAATTAATCAATGAAAGTATTATATTGCAAATGAAATAGTTTCACTATGAAAACCAACTGTTTCTACTGTATCATTGTGATTGCTGATTCAGGCCTTAATTCTCCTAATTTCAATCGTTTTTGGCTGATGACATTAAAACAGTTGTATTTTACCAGATCGTTATGCATTGTGTGGCACAATGTAGGCACACAACATATGTGTTTTGAATTGACACACACTAATTCATTGTAAACTTTCAGCTGTTGCTGTTGTACAGGACCCAGAAGTTGGTAAGATAAAGAAACTTAAGATTACGATAAACAGGTCTTCATCCAGTCGTTCCAACACAGAAGATGCAACTGGCAATACGAAAAAAACTGAGAAGAACATTGTTAATCCGCCCGTACTAGGTACAGACGAAATATATGCTTCATATATTGAATTTTTCCGTAAAATAAATTATTTTGTACTTTTTAATGGATGTTTCATACAATCATGCACTTGTATATTGATAGAAATATAAAACATATAGTGCATCTGATGTTTCTAAAAAAATGGTTAAAAAAAAGAGTGCATCATGTTTAAACAATAATATGCACCCTCTTCATATGAGGTTGACTTTCCTACTCTATTGTTTTATGAAACTTCATACGTTTTACTTTAGTACACCAACATATTGTATATTTTCAGACAGTGATTTTGTGCACGAACCAAAACTTGCGGTGAAAAAAAATATTAATGTTTCTACATCAAAGAAGGAATCCTCGAGCCACGGTCGCACGGAACCCGTTCCCCCAAAGACACGAACGTCCAAAGTCGTAAAAACCACTTCAGGACCTCAAGAGGCAAAAGGTAGATCAAATATTACATTTGCCTAAAATCTGAAAATATATTCAAATGATAAGTATTATATGCAGGAGCTTTGGGCAAAAAAAAATGTGGAGGGGGTCGAGTCGTTGACAACATTAATAAAGAATCAGGAGAAGAGGGAATAATCCAGAACCTGCAGAAGGGGATTGAAGATGAACGTGCATTTGACACGAATGAAGTTCAATATCGGCTACTAAGAACTAGGACATCGCCCAGGACACTGCACGAAACGGTTCACACACTAAACGAATCACAACGTGCTGCCGTTACTAGTATGGGGTTGGGGAGCCTACTTGACATAAAAATAGACGGTGTCCCATCTCGTTTGGGTTTCTATGTTGTAGACAACCTAGACACTATGACCATGAGGCTTAATGTTCGTCACGGTTCAATTCCGATTACAATAGCCTCAATTCATGATCTACTAGGATTACCGACTGGGGGCATTGATATACTAAGTATAGAACAACACAAATCAGAGCCAAATCTTAATGCCATATTTAGGAACCAATTTGATAAGAAGAAGATGAGACCAAAGGATGTTATGAAACTAATCAAAGATTCTGGAGATGCAGCTGGTGCATTCCAAATCAACTTCTTGGTATTGTTCGTTAACTTGATGGTAGATTGTAACCGCATGGGGTGTTGCAATCTTAGTTTCCTTTCTTCAATCAAGGATTTGAAAATGATACCTGAGATAGACTGGTGCAAATTCATTTACGATATGTTGAAAACCAGTAAGGACAGTTGGAGCAGATCAAGTGATGTATGTTTCTACGCCGGGCCACTTACTTATTTGACTGTAAGTTTATCTAATTCATTTTTTCACATAAACTTCTTTTACCACGAATTATAAACCTCATTKACTTTACATTTTAATCAGTTACTATATGTGGAGTCAACAATCTGGCCGGATGAAGTAGTTGACCACATGAGGCCAGCAACAAGGGCATGGAGCTTCGACATGTTAAAAAAGCGTGAAGCTTGGGAAATAGCAAATGGAGGCCTAGGGTCGGCTCAATTGTTGGACGTGACAAGGGAGGTTGAAAGAGAGGTACTTATCTACCTTAATTGTTTTATTTATAAACGTTTCGTAACGAGAAATTATAGATATTACATGAAACTTTTTCATTAGCATTTGTAGAGATTTTATAGTATCAAATGAAACATGTTCATGTAAACCAAAATGATAGTGTGTCACTAGTATCAAATGAAAGTTGTCCAAAATGATTGTGTGTGTTACTACTGGTTACCTGATTTATATTACATGAAAAAGTTTCACTGCTATACGATAATAGTAACATGTTCACTTCTAGATATTACATGAAACTTTTTCACTAGTATTTGTACAGATTTTATAGTATCAAATGAAACATATGATATGAACTAGTTTAAATCTTATTAATGATTTAACATTTTCTACGCCTTCCTACGATGACTAGGTGGAAATAAAGATGATAAAAGACATGATATGTCATGTTTTTGATACAAGGCGTGATATTGAACAGCGTCTCATTGCTTGCAAGGCCAAGTATCAGGGGGATGAAGATTTCAAAGCTCTTTCTCGTGAATTGAACGACATATTCAGATCATCTACACAACATGATTCAGGTCACACAGCAACAACTGATATTGTAGACCCGGCAGCTGTTGGTGAATCAATCGATATAGTTGTTGGTAAACGTACTGGCCATGAAACCCCGATTGATAATGAAATGCACCAGTCACCATTATCACAATATTGGCTCAGTCAAACGTTGCATAAGATATGTGAYGAAACARTTGAGAAATCACTATCTAGTAAAAMACAGAAGCAGTCATTAGCKTTACGGCCTCCACAGTTTGACCTTGGAATCAGCCCTACAAAGACAGCAGAACCGTCMACTGTCACAAATCCAASCTCAAAGGACAAAGGAAAAGGTGTATGCATCGTTGATGATGCAAAGTTGAAGAAATCRAACCGGTTCACCGGATGTCAACGGAGGAGTGTTCGGTTGGGCGATCACCTAAGATCACCTTACGTTAGGCGTTCTATAGACATGAAGGTGAGTGCAGAAGATAGACGCATACACGAGTGGGCTATTGCAGAAATTGGATCAACCTTGTAAGTATATTTTTTTACCTAATATTCACTTTCTTAAACTGTTACGAAATTGTATTAATAACACATTACCAATGACATATGTTTCGCCTAATACGCGTATGTGTTACGTTCCAAATCCACAGCGACATTGTCTTCGAATTGGAGAATTCAACGACCATCCTTCGGGGGAATTTGACAAGCCTAGCGTCCAAATGCATTGTTTACACAAATGTTATAGATGGATGGGCTGAATTGCTGAAYATGGAGGAAATGTTCAGAAGCCGTGACTCRCCGCGTCGTTTTTTTTTCAATACGACTGTGTTGGTAAGTTTTATATGATTAATCAACTTAGTTCAAATGAAAGAAAACATGATTTCATGAATGTTATCTTACTACGTCACTACCACACAGGGAGATCCGAAGCTATGGACTCGCCAGGCTGATTTTAATGTTCAGTATGACATTTTCAGCAATAACCTAGCTAAATCAGTTCGCTTCGACATGGAAGTTATTAAAATGCGAAATATGGATCTGGTATGTGCAGCATTTACTTTTTTCTTGCATTTAAAATTATGTAGAAAACTTTTTTCATCATGACCTTACATAACATTTAAACACACACAGGCATTCTTCCCTGTTATGGACTGTGAACACTACTACTTGGTCGTTTTTAATTTCAAGAACCCATCAATCGTTGTAATAGACAACCGATTCTGGAAAGGATGTCAGATCGAAGATGATTTGGGTTTGCATGAACACGTTGTCGACTTATTAGTATGTACTCTAACTACACATTCACTCTCATACTTCAAATTTCTTCCCAACTTATATTTTACAATTGATTATTTATTTGTCCAGCATCGGTTTATGATAAAGCACCTAAGAGCCATAGGCCATCCGAGTTGGCAAGAAATGGATGAAACTGGTCATGACCGATTGGAAATGAGTTGGCAAACTAAGGACAATTTGGAGGACGGAGGTGTGTTCTTGATGAGACACATGGAAACTTGGATGGGAGAGGAAAGGTCATGGAAGACCGGGTTCACCACAGAAGGGCAGAATCAAAGAACACAACTAACTGATCTAAGGAAGAAATACACGGCAAAGTTAGTACTCAGCAACTTCAGCAAACGAAGGGAGTCAATCGTGAGAGAGGTTGATCAGTTTCATGCAATGGATACCGAAGATAAAAAAAAAGCTATAGAACAGGCAAAAGCAACAAAAAGATCTGCCATTAGCGTTATTGTTTAATCGTAGTTATCAATGGCTTTACAGTTCGTTCACTACTGATACTCTTTTTTGGGGTTTTTTGAGTTAAGCACATGAATTTTATTGTGTTCTTAGTAGTAAATTATGCGTTGTTTATTTTGGATTGAGTAAAATGATGTCTTCTTTAAAAGTACTAAAAAATTTGCTATGCTTTTTTGCAATGCGTAAAATTCTTTCTGTTAAGCTAAATTTTCATTTTTTTGCATGTTCGTCGTACTCGTGTCATATCCCTTCATCATGCGTCATATTTCAATTTACTCAACCTTTTACAATTTAGTATTACAGTGGCACAATACTAATGCAATACATATATTCATGATTCAACAACTTAATGACAACGATTAAAATGGTTTATCAACTTGTCCATTGCCAACCTTCAGTAACATGTTTACAATTTTCCAAGTGAAAGAGGTTCATTAAGTCCACACACAAGCGTTTCACTTGCGCAACATCAAACTTACATTACATAGTACTTACTAAACTTCAATTGTATGCTTTTTCCTTTACAAATCCGCTTCTTAAAATAGGCATATTCTAAGTGTTACAATGAAACCTTTTTAATTACTGTCGCTTGGGTTGCTTATTGAAAGTGTATTTCAAACTAATATGTTCACATCAACCGGTATGCAGCGATTCATCACAAAATATTAAGTACGAACACAATTCCAACGATAAATGTTGCAAGGTAAGATAAAACAAATGAAATAAAGTCAAGGTAACTTCCCAAATCAATCTAATACAATTCGAACACCTAAAACGTTAAYTCGTACTATCGCCCTTCATCGGACAATTGCGGGAATCATGCCACCCCATTTTATCACAAGTTCTGCACAATCTTTTCGGTTTCTTTGCATTCATGGATACCCTCTCTGACACACCAACAAGACGYTTTCCGGTTCCACAACCTTTATTACGTACACCTGTTGGTGGTAGAACATCAACCGATTCTGGTTCGGTAACACATAATAGCTCTTCAATATCATTTCTCTTCTGCTCTGTAACTGTCAAAATTGGAACGTCTGCCGAAATTTCATCACCCAAATGTTCCAATTGATTCACAAACTCTGTCAACGCTCCCTTGTCATTACGTACACGTCCAATAATAACATCAAACATTGATATAGCCTGGTTGATCAAAGCTTGTTTCTCAACATCCATTTCACCGTACCTAACCCGAGCCGACATCAACTCAATAGGAACTAACTCTCGTCTCCAACGCGGCAAAATGTATTTCTCGGGAATAGATTGCACCTCAGAATTTAACATTACCTTAAATGCATGGCGACATAATATACCATTGCGAACAAAATGGTTGCAACTACATTCAAAAGACTCATCCCTTACATCATGAACCACCTACAGTACCATAAATAAAGGAAGATAAATTAGAGAAAATTAACAGGAAATGCGCTTCTAATTGTTAAATGTGAATATGAAATGAAAGAATTGAGCAAAACCTTGTACGTAGCTTTAACCTCAGAATTCTTGTTCTTATGTGTATTACTGTATATCATCTTATCACCGACCTCTACTACTTCCACAACCCCGCAAAACCATACTGCCTTGTTCATTTCCTTTTGCACGTCAAAAAATATTGTTTTTGTGTAAACTTTCGCTGCTTGTGCTTCTATTTTTGATGGTGACAACAATTTTGGTATCGTAGTTCTAGTCGCAACCTCAAGGGAACAGTGTTCTTTCCTTTGACTTTCGATTGCATCGTCGAAAGTGTTAAGAAAATAAACAAGATCATTCCAATACTTCGTATAAACATTAAAAAATGAATTAATACTTTCGGACCTGGAAGTGGTTCTCATAAGACCAGACATTGGATATTCCTTGAAATATGCTGGAATCCAAGAATCTCTTATTGCATACATTTCTTCAAACCACGAGTGCCCTCGTAGGCCATACTCATCCATCAACGCATTCCATTTATCCTCAAAACTTTCACGACTTATGTGTACATTCCATACGAGTTTGTTGAACTTGCTTTTGAACGGGGTTCCATGGGCTAAATGATCACGGATCTTGACAATGAAACAAAGACACAATAAAATAATATTCAAAGCCTTTTTTCCATATGACCAATTCACAACCAAATTTCGCTGATGGAAAGCATACTATACAAACTTATGCAAGAATAAGTTAGAATTCATCTGAATAGTTGAAAATAGACATACCTTTTCCTTCACTTTTTTGGTTATGTGCCACATACACAATCGATGAATAGATTTTGGAAAAACTATAGGTATCGCTTGTTTCATTGCTGCACATTGATCGGTTATTACAAACTGTGGCTGAGAACCGTGCGCTTTCATAAACACATTCAATACCCATGTGAAATTAACGACAGATTCATTTCTAATCAATGATGCACCAACGACAACAGACTTCTTGTGATTGTCAATTGCAACAAATGGAACAAAAATCATTGCATGCCTGTTACGATTCAAAAACATGATATTAAAGCATGATTTGGTCTAGAAATATTTCATAACAAATATTTAAAATAACTTACTTGTTTGTCCGAAATGTAGCGTCGAATGATATGGTGTCTCCAAAATGTTTGTAATTCATTCTCGCTGTTTTATCTGCCCAAAATATTGCAATCAACTCCTTTTCATCACACTTATATTCAAAAAAATATTCAGGGCAATGTTCCCGCCGTTTGCTCATCTTGTTTATTAACATTTGAGCATCTTTGTTACCAACAAAGAGCATAATGTCTCTTCTAAAGTTCATATGATCCCTAGCTGTCCCACCAGATGCTACTAAACCTCCGTTCATTGCCAATTGCATTCTGCGCGACTGAGTGATACCTACTTTAGAGCTTGATGCGTGATAAACATTCCTGCGATCCTTGTAATCAAGTTGCCGTCTTGAACGGGTGAACATCTTCTCATCCGAACAACATAGCATATGATTATGACCCTCTATGAAATGATAGACCTCGTACCGGCCACTCTCTTTCACATAGTGTACTTTAAGGCAAGCTTTACAACCGGTACGTTTGAAATTTGTATTACGCCTTTTCCTATCTCCCGATGAAACTTCTAATGAATCAAATTCCTTTTTCGTTGGATTACCCTCCTTACTACAAATGAAATAACGGGTTTGCACTCCACCCAACGAGTTCAATTTTTTGGTTCCCATCCGTATATCAAACCCAGCAACATCGCCATATTTCCTATACATTTTTTCTACGGACTCAACCGATGAAAAGACGTCACCAACCTTTGGACATATTTTGCTATCAACTTTAGGGACCCATATCTTCGTGCCCCCTGGTGATTCCCCCATTTCTTGTGATAAAGCATCTAACATAACAATTACAATTAGATAATACAAGGTCGTAATGAAACTGTTTCATTAAAAATTAGCAACGACAAAACACAATTTGCTTGTAGGTGTTGTATTTTGTATTTTTAATGAAACATTCTCTCTATTGAAATGTTTATTTATGCAAATTTCCGTTTTCTTAATAAAGTCTTTTTCTTTATTTAAAGGCAAAAAAAACATACGAACTTCATACAAACATTCATACTATGGAATGTAAATCGACTTAAAATTTATAATATAAAWGACATACCATCGCATCCATCTTCATTCGCAACAGCATCACTGTATTCGTAATGAATTTCGTTCGAGCTAATACCTTCTCGCTGATCGCTCATTGTCGCATAGTAACGTATTTCTATGTGACTTAAACGATATGAATATATATACCATCATTCATTTTAAATAAAATTAATTCATAGTATTTTTTAATCACGGAAACCATATCATGCAAATTATATTATTAATGAAGTTGATTTCCATTGCAAAGTAATATACTATTTTAATGTATATATTYTTTAATATAACATCCATCAATAAGTTATATCTAAATCAAACATAAAATAGGCATATTTGAATATGTTTAATGAACCATTTCAATATAAAGTAAAATAAAAAAATGACATTATATCAATGAATTGGTATCATAATTTAATTGACAATCAAACGAAATTATTACCAATCATATCTCTTTTTTTTTATTTTTACTTGTAAACGGCTTCGTTACATTTGATAATGAACTGTATTCATTTTTCGATAAATCAACATGAAATTATTTTACATTGAGACTGTTTCCCATGAAAAGGTTTAATTTGTATTTTATTGCACATTAATTTGTATTTTAATGCACTTTAAGTTCATATTAAAACGTATCATTTTTTCATTGATACAACATGAAATTGTCATATTCTAATGCAAATTAATTTCATGCACAATAACAAATACAACATGGATCACAATTAAAGTGATACATTAAATTCAAATTCTTTAGAAAATGAAAACGTTTCATTTTCATGATTGCGTTTATTTAACTACTTTTGTAATGAAACCTTTTCCCGTACGAAACTGCATACAAACAGATTAACTTCATATCGAACAAAATAAATTATGAATTATTTAATTGACATATGAATCTATTTCATTATATATTTTCATGAATTTTTATCATTACATATTTTAACATGAAACTGTTTCATGTTAATTATTCAATTACGCACCCGTTGCATGATACATATTTTTCATGCAGGACAAATCCCAATATGTACCTGTTTCATGATGCACTATAACCACTGCTCGGTTGAACATCAAATACAATTCATCATGTATCACGATGAAAATTGTTCATTACTTAATGAAATAACTTTGAAGACTAAAACTTTCATTACAATGAAATTACTTAGTTTCAATGAAACACCTTCATGATGAATGTAT